TGGTGGTGGTGGTGGTGGTGGTGGTATGTTATTGTGTGGGTTGCCCATATTATTATTATTGATCGCGGGCTGCCGTTGTTAGTGTTTGTGGTTGTAGTGGGATGTTATTATGTGTGTTGTCGGTAATGTTATGTATGGTTTTGGTTGTTGTCGGTAACTACCATTGATGAATTATTGTCTGGTGGTATGAAGTAAACGTTTCGCTATGACTATACTAACACCACATCAATACTCACTAAAAGCGCCATAAAGGCAATTTCTTGTCTGCCAAGGCGTACACCAAGGAGAGTCTATAGGTTCTGAAGCAATACATATATTTGTTACYTCAGCTCCATCTCAGTTGTTTCTTTAAGAATCTACTGGTCTTACGTTACAAACAAAATTTACCCTGCTAATTAAAGATTAATYTAAAGGCACTTCTAGTCACCGTTCAGGCTACAGAAGAAAACAAAAGAAACTACGGGGACTCATTATGTCTGATTGCTTTCGAGGTTTCGATTGAGGAGACCATACTAGTCAGTATACCATGAGGTGTATAACACTGATATGCAGACGGGTCAACCTTCCCATTGTCGTTCTTTGCAACGTGAATAATGTATGTTTGAGGGTAGGAGCGAGAGAGAGCAATGGYTTATCGATGCTAAGGCGGAGACCACCGCCTCTGTCAGTGTTTGTCTAGTGTTAAAAACATAACTCTTACCTGAACGTAGCATCCCCAAAGTCTGACAGTGGCAACTTCTTAGTATGATGTCTGTGAAGCACTTTTGTAAGCAGACACTTTGTGAATGACCTTTTCCTTTCCTGCAGGACTTGGGGTATGGAGCGGGTAAGCTGTAAATCTACAACAATGTTCATTAGTGGCATACATTATGTTTAGTGCCTGGTTATAGTTTGTTAGCAGCACGTGCCTGATAAAACCAAAAATGAGCCAAAGTGGTACGCATGCAGTGAATCTATTCATTCTGCTGATAAATAAATGTACAGAAGGCAGATCCAGAATCTACTGAAGTTATGCGGAAATTTCAACCCCCAAAAAGGTAAACAAAAACTAATTCCAATTTGAAAGGAAGGGTTGCGACCTCGCCGCCTCCCCTTAATACGCTCATGGTATATCGTAGAAGCAATTCAGGGTCTTACTGTAGTTTTGACTTCAAAACTTATATATACGTGCATTTAATAACCTCCAAGCGCTTACAAGTTGAAAATTAATTAGATATTTGGTAATTGATAATTTACACCTAAAAGAGCAAAAGCCCTGAATGTTACCTCTCTACGTTTAATCCTCATTTCTACACTACTACCAGGCGAGATTTGCCAGGAATTTTTCTCCATCGACGGGTGTTCTTCCTGGTCATGAATAATGACCCTGAACCCAGTCCCTTCTCGACTATATGGTCCATAATATTCTTCGGGCTGTGCGTTTATTACCATCGACAAACCGAAACTGCTTCCAGTTTTCGTAGATTTTAAAATCTTTTTGTTATTTTTGCCAGAGTTGAACGTATAGCACAGACCATACTGAAAGAGAATTTTAGAACCATTTTAAGACAGTATGTATACGTTTTATACAACAGTATTGCAAGCAAAATCATTGTCGGGTTTAAAACAAAGGTTTTCTGGGAAATGACATAAGTATCCTATAGGATGTCTTTAGCCTCGTCCCCAAGCTACTCATTTTGGTCAGCTCTTCCAAATCCAAAATGGCGGACAGCTTTCAGAGCTAACACACATAGCCTAGCAAAACCCTCGAGCTATTTTCCAAAATAGACAAATTTCTCTTAGATGTGTTTATACAATCGACAATTTAATGTTTCAGTGCAACAACTCATATTCCRCGAGCTCGAGATCATAGTTAACTACTATGACGAGATGCATCACAAGATACATCTAATAAACGTACTTCCCACAATACTTTTTGGTCTTAGCTTCTATGTTCTATACTTTGAACCTGAAAATGATTTAGCACTAGACCATTTTCGAGTTCCAAATTACCACTGTGTTCCTTGATTTCAGATTCATTTCCTTAGGGTTAGCCTCGTATCAGTGTCTAAATATTCACAAATACTAACTTTAAAGTAAAGAATGCACAACTTCAACAATACGAACACTTTGAAATTTCACGGACCTTCACGGGAATACATGAATATTCGAATCTAACCCTGAGCAACAGAGAACTTGATACTGGAGTATTGTGTGTATGTATATAAGACTTAACGCGAGAGAAAACATACCCTATAGTCATAGAATGATGTGAAGTTGTATGCTTTGCAAGGTATCCCAGGCCATTTGCACTGACCGTAAAGCAGCATCTCAGACAAGTTATGACCATACTGAAAAGCAGCCGACTTCAGATTTAGTGAATAGTTCAAACCACTTTGAAGTTCGGGACTCTTGCTGCTCTTTTGAGGGTCGAGTAGGTCCAAATACCGTTGAGCAAATGTACCGTTGATTCGACTTCTTCGCATCATATTATTGTTGCAGATGCTGACGGCAGRGAAATCGAGTGCGTCTCTAAATTCGTTCTTGTATTCCAAAACCACTTGAAAAGCAATCATTTTCTTCCAACCGGCGTAAATTTGATTAGCAAGGAAAGCTCCTGATCCTAGAATCAAAAGTATCCACAATGCTCTTCGAAGCTTGGAAGATTTGTCGAAGGTAAATTGGACGCCATGGAGCGTCGAGTAGGAACCCAGTTCTTCCCAGAATTCTCTTGGGGTTTTGATTGGTTCGCTCATATTTTTAGGTCCTTCAGCTTCTACAGTGTTTTCTTCCTTCATTTCCATACTGTGTAGAGATAAAACAACAAACCACAAGTGGTTTGAGTAGAATAGTACGCTGTACGAACTTACCCCCTCCCTCCCAGCCAATTGGGGCACTCAGTTGAGTAGTATATTATGGTCTATGATCTACCCCCTCCCCCCATAGGACACATAAACCAATCAGCTGACTGTTAATATCTAATGTAAAAAGACTTTTATTTAAAAAGGAAGACACTTGACAGTCTGCACAGCCAAGTGTTTGCTTGGTGATTTGACGCTGAACCGCCGTATTCAGTACTTGTCTGTCAAACAACACTGAAGCTCTACTAATTTGCACACGGCTAATTTGGTCGTGCAAAGAAACAGCTTTCTGTTTGCTAACGACTACGACCCGTCGTCGTCAGTCTGGTGAAAAATCTATTTTTATTCAAAGCAGTCTTGCACTTCAGGAGTAGTGCTTCGTCTTTTTAAGCTATGCTCAGTTATGCAATTTAAAAATGAGTTTTGTGAATTATATTTTATATTTTGAAACATAAAAAACAACATAGAAAATGAGAAATACCTACAATACATAAATATAWAAATAAATATGATGTTTTGATTAATGCACCAAAAGATTTATTATTGATTAAGCAAGAATTCGATCGATGAATTCTAGTAGTTTGGCAAAAGTCATATAAAACTTAACGGTAATCTTAATTAAGAAAACTCGGTTTCTGTAATGTTTGGACTTTTTTAAATTACAAATAGAAATGGCTTTTTCGATCTATCATTTACTTCTTAAAATTGCGAAGCCATCTGTAAAAAAATCTTAGGTGTTAGTAAAACAAGACAATAAATACTCATCTTTGCAAGAAATATTCAAGCTACGAAAAGGAAACGTTTTACAATTCTGCCACGGCCATAGTCATAAGTTTTCAACTTGGCTTTTACATAGGACCGAGAAGATCTTGTCTYGTCATTTCAAACAGCAGCAACAATGTCTCTAGATTTGTCTAAGCAGATGATATCACTTTATCTTCATTAGTAAAACTGGCCGGATCTTGTTTCTCAGTTCGCAGTGATGAATCTTAGCAAACTTTGTCTTTCAATATGAATGCGTAATTCGATCATCAAGGTYGAAAAAAACCTAAACGATTTCGATTTTTGAGTATCCTAAATTACTTTTTTTTTATGGTACGGATTTCCATCGGCAACGCTCGATTTTTTTCATTAAAACGCAAACCAAACATTTCGAATAGTTATCTTTGAGAATCTTTTAATTAGATTTGCTAATGAATCTCATTAGAACTTGAGAACTGCCCATCAGGTGAAGTGGTTTTAAAAGTCAGTGGGTAAATAAAAATGCTATCAAATGGAAGATAGAGAATGAACTAGATGACCAGATTAACCAACTTCTATTAGATTCAGTGAGAGAGAGGGATGAGTTGTCTCGTACGTGCAGCTGACTACATATTATTAATCTATTATACTTTATCGAACCCCAAAACAGCCTCTGGGCTGATCAATTATCAGGGCACTGAGTAACTAACAGATCGAATTGCTATTTACGTGGTCAGGTTTTGCAAAGGAATGAAAAGCGGAAAAAAGCCTTCGAGAAGTGACAGACCGTAACAAACTTTGGTTACATGTGATGCGGAGTCCAGCAATCAAACCCGAGACCCCAGAGATGCAAAAACCCCAAAATTGGAAATTTCTACGATAATAATATAAGTGCAAAAATTACTTGATGCTGATTGGCTGAAAAACAGTGCAAAGAAAGGTAATTCAGTGCAAATTAAAAACTCTTTGAATTACAAGTATTTGAAACCAAAATCGCTTTGAATATACTAGTTGGTTGTGAACGAACAAATTTCAAATTAATTCATTTGTCAGAACCAATAAGCAATAAAGACGTAACGTTGCTTACGCGCGTGACCTTGAACGACTGGAGTATTTACTAGTTTTTGTCCTAATTTTTGCACTTGTATCATCAATAAGTAATAATATGACTTCTTGTTCAATTTGGGATTAATTTGCACTCGTTAGTTTTTCAAAGATTCAAATTTGCCCTACGGGCTCATGCAATTACGAACTCTTTGAAAGAGTAACTCGTGCTAATTAATCCCAAATTGGTAGTGGAAAATAAAACTTCTAACACTGAGGAGAGCGCAAATATAATGGAAAACAATTGCAAAGAAAATATTCAATCGCTCGAGTTGTTCTTCAGTCAAGCTGTGAGCACGAACCCCTATAGAAATATGAGATTGTAAATAATAATGTTAACATCCAACAGACTTATTGACACTTCCCATAGAGTGCAAACAATTAATCCGTGAAACACTAATTACTAAATAGTACAAAATAGTGCTAATTAAACAAGAGAAAACAATGGAATGTGCATGAAATTGTGCTATTTAGTATTACTAAAGTTTCACGGTTATATTGTTTGCACTCTAATACTCCTTCCGCATAATCAAATAATTAAATGTTTGATTGTTAAAACGGTCCACTCGAGCATTCGCAGCACTCCGCCTCGGGACAACCTAGACGTCAATCAAAATGTTGCTATGACATTCCTGGCCAATAACGACACGTGATCATAACAATGCAGTGTCATGGAAACGTCTTCATTGATATCAAAATATTTTTGTCGCGACGGCAGATTGTACACTTCTGCGCATTCTGCAGGACGTTGGTGACACCCTTCCCGCCCGACAGTAGAGCAGTTTTCCTATGATTGTAAAAAGTCGGTGCCGTATAGGCAGTACCGCGACCATGAAGTTTTCTATAATTTTGATTTACCGCTCTTTTCTCTTGCGCAATTTGATTGGTCTGACATTGCCGTGACCTTAGTGTGACAGTGTTTTCGTGCCGTGTTCCGGGCATTTGATTGGACGGAGAGTAAATTCTCGTGCAATGTAATTGGTCTGGCGCATGCCCTACCTGTCATCATCATGTGCGTGCCGTGAGCTTTTCACAGTCATACGAATACTGCCCTATCGCGGTATGTGGGTGTTAGCCACACCCCACAACGCCTGCATTGCCCATGCTAAGTAACCGAGAACGAATTGACTTTTCAAACCTGCAAATTCAAACAAAAACCCTGTAAATAAAAAGAATATATCAATCGCTTGGTTCTTTGTGCCAGTCAACACAAGCGCTTGAAAATTCCACCTTAAATTAAAGAAATTTTCGGTGATCTTTTAAAGATTGAATTCAATGAATTACTTGGCCACTTCGAGAAAGGTGAATTACCATCTGTTCAGCGAGTGTTAGGCAAGTAAAATAGCTAGATAATATCAATATACCAAATTTAAACTTTCCGTATGGATTTTTTAAGGTGCACATCAGTTTTTATTGCTTTTTCTGGTGAAATTATAGTTCATTTTCCGGACAAACCACCAAGCATTATTGAAAACTTACAAAGTTAACTAACATGTTTCTTGTGCAAATTAAATGATCTTTACTTGGCTGGTGATCTCTGTTAAATTACTTGGACAAATCGCAGCTGGCTAACGGCCTCGAACTTACCTCACAATTTGAGTAGTTGGATGTAGGAGTAAACATTCATACGATGAAATAAAAAACTGTTTCCGAAGCAAGCTGAGACTACTGAGTCATGCACGTTAGGCATTACACGATTAATTATTAACATCAACTTCAGTTGAACAATACTAGATTTTCTTAATGAAACCGGTCATACGCGTAGAATTCATTTAAAACCGAGATAATAAAGAATTGTCAGCTGTCAACACCCAGAGCAAATGAAAAAAAAAAACATGGCCGAGTATTATACGTAACCATAGCAATCACTAATGAATGAGCTTATGTTTGGTTGACGTCGTACACTTGTTGAGATATATCAAACCTTGGCATATGTCATTAAGTAGAGAGTTGTTTTTCATCCAATTAATTCGCACTTTGCTAATCCGACCTGCTTATCTTAAGTACAATCATTAACGTTCTATTTTTTCACCGCTCAACGGGTTTGTAAAGCTAAAATTTTACAAAATAATTGCAAATGATAACAAGCGCTCTGATTGGTTAGAACTTAACGTAATGTCTCCCGGTCTCACGCGCACGATTTTTTCGCCCGAGTCAGATTTTAGCTGTTCTTTCAAAGTATTTCCAAAAATTGCATTTTTTTTTTGATATTTTTTTTCTTTGAGTTTGTCGAACACAAATGAATTAGAACTTGGTAAAAAGGTACAAAATGTTTGCTTAATGCGTTAGTCAAATTGTTCCCCACTCCCCTCCCCCGTCCCCCATTCCCTCCTCCGTCTCTTCCACCGCCCCCCGTCCCCCCTCCCCTGCTCTGTSCCACCTCCCCTCCCCTCCCACGGAACAGGGCGGGGAATTAACGCAATGACTCCGGGGATTTAACGCTTATTTAATGAAATGAATCCAAAATCTTTGCTTTATGAATTACGATAAATCAGTAACATTAAGTAAAACCTCTAGCCTTGTATGCGAAATTGTTCAAGAACCTATAAGTAACCTCGAGTTTGTCTAAAACTTTATCAACTGATGACACTGCCGAAATTTAAATATCGAACTGAACAAAACAAGTTACGTCCTGGAGATTATTTGTCTAAACTATATTACGATTGTGAAATTTTAATAACAAACACAAAGCACGTTCAACCTTTTGAGTTTATTTATTAGAACCACATATGTGAATAACATATTTTGACGTTTTTAAAACTTAAATTTCAAAAAAACATTGACGGTCAAAGATGTGTAGTTAACGTTAAGGAGGCCTTCGATGGTATCGTGCACTGTTCTATAAGTCTCACCGACTCGAGCTACAATAAAAAATTAATTACTTTGACCACATGCTATTTCTGCATTTCGTGCCAAATACGTTAAAAAAGCTCAGAAAACTTAATTAAAGAGTTGATGGCAAGACTTACGAGTAGTTTAAATGACAATAGAAGTTTGATTAAAGCCGGAAAAGGCGAGGACAAGAGTAGATGATTTAGGATCTTAATGGTTCTCTTTTCTCTTTCTTGTCTCGTTTTTCCTTCGTTTGTTCTTCCATAATTTTTTCATCTTTCTTTCCTTCTTTCTTTTTCAGTTTATTTTCTTCCTTCCTTCGTTTCTCTTCTTTCCCAGTGACGGACACTTCTTGCTGATAATAGTTTAAGGCTTTATACTTCATAGTAAAACCTCGAATTCCTTTTATACATATATATATGTTCGTTTCCAGCCGTCTTTATGGTTCCTAACAGGATTTTTTTAAAAATAAAGCGAGGAATAATAGCCCTTTGTTGTCACCACTAGGTAACACCCCACAATCCAATTCACATTTAAAATCATCTTATCTAAAGAAATAATCGTCTTTTAATTTGAATTTCAAGCACTATATTTATTAGTTAAAACCAAGGTAAGATAAGCAACGCCTCTATCTTTCCTCCGCTATTTCTCTGTTGTTATCACCGGACTATAATACGGATATAGCACTACGTAAAACGTGTATAGGCAGAYCTTCTTATTCATTAGGCGCGAAAAAAGAGGGAAAAGATTCTCAGTATAATAAATTAATGTATGTGGGAACTAACATACTGACGAAATAGCTTCGACGTACCGAAAACTAAAATAACGAAACGAGAATTCTTCATTTAAAGAGAAAATCCTTACAACACTCGATTGAGAATTCACTAAACCATGAACTACATTTTTGGACAAGTTTTTCTGCTTCAGGTGGGTAGTCATTATTTCAAATCATTATTTTTTTCGGCGATTATTGACTATTTCTAAATAAAAAAACACTTGTTCGGGGCTCATTAATATTTCATCTCATACTGATCTCCAGTTTGAGCCCTCATCTCAAGTCCTAAACTTCAATACTTTCTTATCCTTAAAAAGTAACAACGCATTATTATTCTGTCATCGACTTTTCGCTCAAACTGACCTCAGCGTTGAAGTACAACTAAACAAGATCGAAGATATGGAGGCTGAAAAAACCCAAGAACAGAAACCGAGTATTAAGGAGTTATTGGACACTTTTGCCGGCTATAGTACTCTCCATGGCTTACATTTTTTGGCGGATGCATCGTCGTATGTAAGGAAGCTGATATGGTTTTTGCTCCTGTGCAGTGCTACGGCGATTTTTGTCTATTTGGCATACTGGGGTTGGACAAAATGGCGCAAGTACGAAGTATTCGTAACTACGGAAATCAAAATCAACGACGTAAGTAATCCATATATCTTTGCACTGAATATGCAATACAATAAGCCTCTTAGATGAAGAACATTACGTGTTGGCTTCTTTAAAAGAATCGCGGTCTGAGAAGATTTGAGTCGACGAAACCAAAAAGCCCTCGTCTTGTAGCACAACTGCATTATGAAATAGGTTTACAAATGAATCACATTTGACGGGGTTCAGACTTTGAAATGATAGGTGTCAGTACTATGCTAGTCAGACAAAAAACAAAAAAACGAAAAAAAAAAAAAAAACAAAAAAAAAAAAAACCCTACATTTCCAGCTCAGTCTTAAAAAATGTTTGGTTGTGATAGGCTGTTTGAGTTAACGTTGTACGCATCATCAATTCAACGACATTCCTTGACCAAAAATTAATCAAACCCTATGATAGTTTAGCGGCTTTTGAATCAAAGATTCGATTTTATCGTTTAGAAATGTCAGAATTCTGTTCGAATTATATAATCAAGAGCCCTTTATATCCGCGAATTTCCCGATTTTAATCAAACCGGCTGGCATGCCTGTTAATCAAATACCAATCTAAACGAGTTTTCCACGATCATTTCCCCCCAGGTCAGTTCTTTGCCATTTCCAGCAGTGACCATCTGTAACAAAAACATGATGAAAAGAAGTAGGATCCGCGGTACTGATAGCCAGCGGTATCTCGACGCACTTGACAATATGCGGTCATATAAAAAGTACAGTCAAATGATGAATTCTTCCTTTAATATCGAACAAGCTGTCCTTGAGAATGGCCACCAACTTAAAGACATGGTGAAGGGTTGCTTTGGACCAGAACCTTGCGGCGAATTTGATCATTTCTTTGATACATTGGTATGTAGACTAAGAATTCTTTTTTCATTCTTTCGTATTACGGAGAACTTTATCTTGACCTCGAATTTAAAAAAAGAATCAATTTTTCAATTTTTCCGATTCTATTTTCACCATTCACTTTAATCTAAATTGGGTTCCCTGTGGCATTTACGTTACAGTATTTACTGTTATTATTTATTTTDTTTCTTGCTTTTTTTTTCGCGCTTCTGTAAAATGATTTCCATGGTGGGTTCCCTCAGCAGTGTCTATTTTTCTATCAACAGTCAGGATTGTGTTACACATTCAATGGCAACGGAAGCTTTAAGCTCAAAAAGAAAGGAGCTTCATTCGGTATTAGGTTGCTCCTAGATGCCGAACCAGACGAATATTACGGTCGACTCAAGAGGGACGGTATTGGATTAAGTGTCATGGTACACGACCAAAATACCCAACCGACATCAGAGCTGGATGGATTCGACATCCCGACAGGATTTGCCACAAACTTCATTCTTAAACGGAAAGAGGTAAGATGCTGATTCCAAAACCCCAAGGTGCCAGCTACAAATTAGCAGGAGGATCGAAGGGGAGAGAGAAGGAAACGGGTGTGACGGGAGAAGAAGGGGGAGGGAGAGAGGGAGAGAGGGAGAGAGGGAGAGAGGGAGAGAGGGAGAGAGGGAGAGAGGGAGAGAGGGAGAGAGGGAGAGAGGGAGAGAGGGAGAGAGGGAGAGAGGGAGAGAGGGAGAGAGGAAGTAAGTGAGTGAGTAAATGCAGCCTTGGATTCAGATAAAAAGAGCCGGCATATCTTTTCCTAAACATCGGAGTCTCGAATTACGCAGTCGTTTTTTTCTCTCTTCCTTAATTTTTATCCCTGACAGTGATTATTCATGGAAGTTTATAATCTGTTGTTGGGCCTAGATAATAAGACAGCCTGCCCCGTATCCATCCAAATGCGGTGAGATAAAACTACAAACGAGAAAGACGTACTCAGAAACCTCATGTTTCTGGGAGAAGCACACAATCAAATCTCTCGATAAATGTGGGTGCCGAATACTTGGGATGCCCGCCATTGGTAGGTATATCATGGACACGGTCATTTTATCTTAGGAGGTTTGCAGCTATTACTTTGGCGTAGCGTTTTTTGAATATGCAAGACGTGAATTATCTAGGCTTTTTAAAGGGAGATCCACATTATATGGTACAGCCGTAAATGAGGTTTTTACTGCGAAAACTGCTCTAAACATTTCAACATTCACATAACACCACTTCAGTATTTTTTTGAACACTTTATTTTTTATAAACACTTTGAGTTATGAAATTCGTAAGACCATTATTGAAGTACGCATTTTTCCATCACCAACAGTCAAATTCGTGACCAAATTGAACAAATTCATCAAAGAGCACTTAAAACCATCTTCCCAAATGATTCGTACCAGCAAAGTCTGGTTACAGCCAAGCTAGTTACGCTGTTTGAGCGCAGAGAAAATTTATGTCACAAACTGTATAAAACCGCTTCCAAGCCTACCAACAAGCTCAACTGCCTACTACCGGGAAAAAAGGAACATCGCTACAATCTCAGGAACGTAACCCAAGAACATATCCAAATATCAAAAGCAGAACAAAGAGATTTTCCAATGCTTTTATTCCAACTGCTGTAATGCAATTAGATAATTACACATTATTTTTGAGACAATTTCATTGTGAAAATTTTAGCAATTTTCGTAATTTATATTTTCAATCTTTGTTTTATATTTGTTCATTGTAAAATCATGCTTTTTAGGCCGGGCATCTCGACCTACTAATTGATTATTGTTAAAAAAGTTATTAAAGTTATTATTTCTGAACGCCATAACAATTAGTATTGCAGAAGCGATTGGCGTATCGACGATTGCCAATCTTTTCATATTTTGATCAAGCTGTACTCACTAACATTGTTTGTTTTAGACGAAAAGGACAATAAGGTTTTGCTCGATGGAAAAAACCATTACATGTGCGTTTCCATTTTTCGGTAAGTTGTTGGTCAAAAAACAGTTTGAAAAACAGTTCTATTACGCTTGTTGCCTAAGATCAAGTCTATAATGTTTATGATTTAGGGGCGGATCGGGATTTTGAAAAAAATAAGTTGTCAAGGATTGCTTAAACTCCTTTTAAGTTCTCCAAAAGACCCTAAAAACCCTTTTATTGATCAGTAAATAGTACGTCCTAGCCAACACCGAATAGGGATTTAGCCTGTTGGATTTTGCAAAGGGAAGAAACTAGAGGAACTGAAAGTCAAATCAAGGCAGACACTGGCAACAACTACTCGCATCAGATACACAGTCCAGGAATCGAACGCAAGACCCCAGAGGTCAGAGGCAAGAGTTCTACAGCTACACGACCCTTGATCAGTTGACCCTATCCTTCGTATTAGCTATGTTCGTAATGCGTATCATTCATATTCTGCATATGTTTCAGCCCACATAACCTTCGATCCAAAAGAGTGTCCACCGCCATGTAATACAGTGAAATATGATATCAAAACATCGTCACTTATATACCCTTCCCGGGACGTGTTGGAAAATGCACCAGACAACATTAAAAGCATGTACAAATCCTCCAATGGAACAAATATATCGTTTCACGACTGGTACAGGTAACATCCCTGATTCATATGACCGTATTACCGTGCCATGGGGTTCTCATATTACATTTTCATTGCCCTACAGGAGCAGGTTTGCTTTTGTTAATATATTCTTCCACTCAGCCGATACAGAAGTGATGAGAGAAGTACCCGCATATGACTTCGTCGATTTTGCAGGTAGGAAATTTTCCAGTGGGTTCAATGGAAAGGTGAATGAGAAATGGCTTTTGATAGCTGGAAAATGTCACTGACCACCATATGGCTTATCTGTAGGATAACCCTAGTCAGCAAGGGACAGCTACTGAAAACAAAGTCAGCCCAGAAATCCCTAAAATCCTACCCTTCTTGCCAATGGGCCCGTAGAGGATGCCGGATTATTATCGACTCCACCTTATTGCGCGTGCGTCTCAATAACCAATCAAAGACCGAGATTCTCAAAGGGTGATTACTAATGTTCCTTCCTTAACTGCGCATGCGTCCTATTAACCAATCAAAGACCATGGAACTTAAACTAATTGAAAACTTATTTTCCTCTTGCAGCTGGATTTGGAGGAAACATGGGACTGTTTTTAGGATGCAGTGTTCTGACATTGCTTGAATTCATAGACATACTTGTCGTGATAACCTTCGAATGGTACCGGAAAAAGCAGCGTAATGTCCAAACATTCTCAGTCAAGCCTAGATAAAGAAAATTCAATTTTCAACGAAAGCACTGATAAGTCTTTGAAGAACTCGTTTTGCAGTCAGAACTTGTAGTAATAATCATTAGTAATAGTCAAATAGTAATAGTTTAGAAGAAAGTAAAACACATTTTATAGTATTGCTCAATTTTTTATGAAGGCCCCATAGATGAATCCGGCTTCAGGAAAACCATAGTTAAAATGATGTTAGAGAACTAAATAGACATTTTATTAACTTTTTATCGCTGAAACACAAAAATAACCAACTACAGAAAAAGGACCAAAGAATAGTCTGTGTGGCACACCACAACTTGAATCGCTTACAAAGTCATATACAACAAATATTTCAAAAAAGGTTGGTAAAGGTTGTTTTGTTACATAATGCATGTTGCATACCAAGCCCGAAATGAACTATGGGTAATGTGAATGCAATTAGTGAAAGGTCACAACAAAATGGATATACCAAACTTTGCCTACACTTTTTTACCAGTATAATTTCTTCAGTGCTGTCATTATTTACATACGAATATAATACATTTCAAGCTAAGTAAGAAGCATGTAGCAAAATCTTCACCGACCTTTTTTGAAATAGCTGTACACATTGTCAATTCCAACGAAACATGCAAAAGCACTTAATTAATGACACCAACGAAGCACAGAATATCTAATCCAACCAACTGGTATTGACAACCAGCCAACGYATTTTATAGCCATGACCAATATAATCTGATTAACGAAATCCAAATGTAAATACATCTGTTATTATCACCAAGTGACGATTTCAGAATCCTGGAGGTGGCTGCTTTCCTACCAATGAATCATTACTTTCGAAGCCCGGTGGTGGACCGGTGGGTCCCCGGGATTTTATCTCTATTCTATCAAACCCCGGGGGAGGTCTGGCAACACCAGCAGCAGACTTATCGTCCGTTTTAACATTAGATTGCGATAAGTTCGTATTTTCACAGGTCAACTCGCTCTGCGAGTGAAGCTTCAATGGTTTAGCATTTTCGATATCATTTCTGGAAGGCGAGTATTGTCCGTCGTTTGAAGGTGAAATTTTAACATCTTTGTCCTTTTGCTCGGGTCTCTTTGGTCTCTTTTGTCTTCTTCTACTTTTGTCATCATCATAGATCTTTTCTCTATCTGTTGTCCTAGAAGAAGTTTCGCGTGATGGTGACGAGTGTCTTACATTCCTAGCGCCTTTGCTACGACTACCAACCTTCTGATCAACTGGTTCGTCTCGTCGATGTGAGAAATCTTTCTTGTGACTCGGTATGTCCTCTTTTCTACCCGTAGTTTTGTCGCTATGTTTCTCTCCGTACCCACTCTCTGTTCTTTTCGTCCCTTGATAATTGTCTTTTTGTGCTACAGTTATTTTCAATGAACTTTTATCATCGTTTTTTGATTCCAAGCTAATAGTGGCCTCAGTGGTATCTCCTGACTTAACACTTTTCACATCTGATTTATCAATAACATGTTGAACATTCTGATCTTGTTGAACATTAGACGATTTTAATCCATTAATTTCTCCAGGTACCGCTTTATTCTCATCAGACCTGTCATTTTTCGTCTTTGTTTCATTCCCTTGACTACCTTTATACTTCTCTGTACCTTGTGTTTTCTGATTAACTTCCCTATCTCGTTGACCCTTTTGGAATCCTCTTTCGTTATTACACCTTGGTCGTTCATTCTGCGGTGGGTCGTTGCTTGGTCGTTCATTCTGCGGTCGGTCGTTCCTTGGTCGTTCATTACTTGGTCTTTCATTCCTCGGTCGTTCGTTCCTTGGTCGTTCATTCGGCGGTCGTTCGTTACTTGGTCGTTCATTCGGCGGTCGGTCGTTCCTTGGTCGTTCAT